TTTTTAGAATTCTTGTCTGTCTGTTACCGCATCACAGAAAAAGCACTGGAGGGATTTTGATGAAATTTGGTATGATGATAGCTGGTTACCCGGGTCAACATATAGGTTACTTTTTACCGCGGGAAAATATCTCATTTTTGAGAAGAAATACAAACACTGCATTGTAAGAGTATACTAATATGTAAAACCGAAGAATTTGGTTTTTGGTCATCTGAACGCGGACGGAGCCGCGGGAAATGCTAGTTCTCTATATTTTTGTTTATTTTCTCAGGATGTCATGCATCCGATAAGGAAGTAACATATTGTGTGATATTTCACGTTTTATGCTTCTCACTTAGGTACTTAGCTATTGTTCTCTAAATCAATAGGGAATATAATTTTAAAAAAATATTGAACTCGAAAAAACTAAAATATAGTTTTTTTTTTAAATATCATACCGATACGAATACTTTAAACGCTAGCCATTTCGCGCGCTTGGCATGATGTCATAATATCATATAGGTACACTGAAATGTATTGTTTTGTTGAATTGTATTGTTGATACAATACGTCTACAATATAGGCTTAATTCAAAAGCAAAAAGATTAAAAAAAATATTTAACCTTTATTTAAATTACTCGCGTATTCCCTATCAGGCATTAAACTCTGAAATTTAATAAGACATATGATGATGATGATGATGATGTTCTCCTGACCGATTTCAGTCACGGCGGCCAATCTCATTGAGACTAGCCAACTGCGCAGTATACTATAGAACTGCAAGTACAACCATAGCCCAAGAACGTAAATAAATTATTTTTAACTTCTTTTAACTTCAATAGGACTCTTGAAGTATAATTTATTCACCAAAAAAAGTGCAAATAGATTCAAAATTAGCAAAGATATCGAGATATCGAGAAAATACACAAAAAGGTATCGTCGAATTGAGTACCTCTTTATTTTTGATGTCGGTTAAAAATATAGAGGTACGCACTCCTTGGTCTTATAACTATTTTATTATAGATACCTACCAGGTTCTGTTTACGGTTTCGCATGCTATATTTCTTTCAAATCGCCATCCACCAAAGCTCTCTAAGGTGACCGCCGCTTTATATGAACTATGTATACATACACTACTGCTTGTATAATATTTATAATACTCATTTATATATAATATAAATCTACCTCTTCGCCCTCACAGATAAAACTAAAATCTTTTTCCCTGGGACAATTGACACTCGACCATATTGCAATATTTATGTAATAAAAAAAATTGTGCCAGTTGAGCACAGATTACTTCGCCAATGTCACATAGAATGGACATAAGACGACAGACATAAAAAAGTATGAAATCATAATAGTAAATATTGGGCCTTCACTGTTTTAATAATAGCAAATAAAGAAACAGTACCTGGGCGACCGAGCTTCGCTCGGAGTTCTTTTTTGCTATATCGTAGTTTTAGGATAAAAAAAACTAAAAACTTGAATAAATACAAAGAAAAACAAAAGTAAAAATTATATATCCGACCGGGATTCGAACCTGTGATTGTCAATCTTGCGCCTTGGCCGCTTGACCACGATGCTTATGCCCAAGCGTGCGATACCAGTTCCCAGACATAAAACTAATCTAGATCGATTTTTCGCCCCCGAAAACCCCCACATACCAAACTTCATCGAAATCGTTACAGTCGTTTACGAGAATGCCAGTATAAATTAATAAATATACAAAAATGACTAGTTTATATATATCAGATAAATTTTAAAAGTAGATTATAAACAATTATATATTAATTTTAACAAGCCCTTTAATTAGCTCGGTTCAAAACGGCGATAAAAATTAAGTATGTATTCAAACTATTCAATATGTTAACAAAGTCAAACCCGTGTATCAAGATTGTACTAGATGTTAGATAGTGCCGGACAGGCGATGACTAACGCCGGTACGGCCACCGCATTACGCGAGAACCGGTTCGCAAAATCATAGCCTTAAATAATACGCTCGAAACAAATATACTTTTTTGATTTGCTTCTTTCTGAGGAATACTTTGTAAAATTTTATCGTTTATTGAATAATTATTTAGCCCATTTGAAGTTACTCTGCAATGTCATAGTCCACTACGCTGGCCAAAATATGGGTTGGCGGACTTCACGTTTTTCGAGGATTAGTTACTTTTTAAGCAGTAGGAAATAACACGGTAATATTACATATTACATATATAATGTTAATGATTTACATATGAAAATCTTAAACATTTATATCCTGGTTTCGAATCCGGTTTACTTGGGCTTTAAGTAAGTGCATTAGCAATAGACTACCGTCTACCAATGCTATTTAATTGTATTTAAATAAAAATTATCGTATTTACAAGTATATGATTAAGCTATGGCCTATGCGTGCTATAGCCTATATATGTACTTGTTTAATGTAACCAAAGTTATATATGAAATTAATAAAAAAGTTACGAGAATTGTTGCGGCATAGTGACAGGCATTTTGAAGTAATATTGCTTCAACAAACTTTATAATTTATTTAAAAATAATTCTTATAACCGTGTAATTAGTTAATTGTAAGAAATTTTATATGTAAACCTAACAAGCCACATGGTACCTATGTAGTTTTTGCGACAAAGCTCTTGAATTAAGGAAAAAAACTGCCTCGACATAAAGATTTTTACAAAACGATACGGTAATAGATTCTGCCATTAAACTAATATCAGCAAATTTTATCATTTATCAATTACGGAACATAAATTTAAGATATAAAAAATATATCAGCCAAGTTAAGTTCTAACTGGTGTTATTGTATATAGCTAACTTAGTATTGTGAACAAATCGATTACAATTGCAATTTGAGATATTATAGTCGATTAGAATCGATTTATAATTCATTCGCATTTAAAATCGGACCACTTTTATTATATGCGAAAGTTTGTATGTGTAAGTATGTCTTCGTTACTCTTTTACGCTTAAACCGTCCACGTTGACACACAGCCCACAGAGACACAGTGTCACACCCTATCGTAGCGCTAGTATAGAAACGTTTCAATTTATGTAATTCAATTGTTGATCCAATAATTTAACATGTGTGTAATTTGGTTGTAGTAATTTGGTAAAAAAATAATTTTAATTAGTAACCTTAAGTAACTTGTAAATATAAAAAAATAAAACCATAAGTATTATTATACAATATTTATTATCATCAATCTACATAATGTAATGGAATACATACATAATGATTAAAAAATATATGTTTATACAACTAAATCTATATAAAATATGGCTAAATGACAGACTACTGTCAAATATTGGCACATGGAATATTACAATACTAGGTGAATAAGACGATTTGCGCTACAATATTTTTTGAAATTATACTTCTTTTGGCACGTTTGGAAAAATATATGAGAGTAAAAGCTTACGATGTGCGCGCACACCGACAGCCAAAAAGTGACATGATGAAGTGAGCTGAAAGCGACATGATGAAGTTAGCTGCATTCCTTTTACAAGTAAGTTAGTATAGAGTTGTGATATACATACCGGTGAATTACTTAGCTATTTTTGTTCTGTTACGCCAAACAAGTATAACTTCTTACGTGCGTACACACATACACCTTTTTTTAGTTATTATAATCAATTTTTAAATTTTATTTTTGTATAAATAATATAGTGTTGATAGAAAAATTGAGTGTTTCTTTATAAATTGAAGAATTGATGTCACCTTATTCACTGTATCCATTGCTTACCAACAAAATGTATATGTGTTTTAGTATATAAGCTGTCTTATGACATTAGATATATAAACTTTATTTATATATTTTGTAAAGACATGTTAAACAATAAACTTTACCTTATATATTTCGCTTATCTAGCGAAATAATGGTAGTTTTGTTAATTAAAACGCTATAACAATGTTATGTGATTTTTCTATTCCAATACTTAGATATCATATATATATATATATATATATATATATGAAGTGATCAAAATTTTGAAAAATCAATGAATAAAACAAAACGTCCAAAGTCCACTTAACTATATTATCAAATATCATTTGAATGTTATGGAATAGAAAAACAACATATTACAAACCTTAATACTATTACTGTATTTTCTTTATGCTAATGTACTTTAGTACAAAATTATGATAAATTATGAGAGAAACCAACTAGTTTCGTTCATAATTGAACTTAATTTTAAAGCACATGTAATTAATATATAAGGCCAAGCCAAGTCAATATTAAAATTAGAAATTAGAATATGTACCCATATTTCTAAGCATTAGGAACAACCCTTATAATGTACATAAGCGATATGGAGTGTTATATAGAAGCTTCAGATATATGGAGAAATATATTTCGAATGTCTACATACAATATCTTGATCACTATCTCGCTTTGTTAAAAAAATCATATTTGTACTCCAAACAGATTTTTAAAGCAAACCGATCTAAGGTACGTTCTACGTAGGTGATTATATTAGTAACAATATTTAAAATATTATATAAATATTATTTTACATATAATAGCTAAGCAGTGAAGCCGTGTAAACGCTACCGTCACTTATTCTAATAAATACTATTTACAAATCACCAGAATGCCGAATTTGCCGATAAAAAAGAAGAAAATATTGCTTGATCCTCCATCTGTTGTGATAAATTCAATAAAAAAAACATACAATACGTGATTTTTCTTTTGAATAATATAACAACAATTAGATCGTTTATCGTAAACAAATTTTGAACTTTTGTTTAACAAACACACGTTTAATTTTAAAATCAAATTATTAGTAAGCCGAAATTATTTATTACTTAGCTTAGCATTAGGATGTTAAAAAAATATTTGCATATTTTTAACACCCCAATACCTACGTATATACAGTGTGTTCTATAAACAAAAGATGTAATAAAAATAATTTTATTAAATTGCAATGTCCCATTCTGGTGTCAACAATAGAAGTTTGAATACTGTATTATTTCCCATTGTTAGCCACTTGGTCTTCAGTGATCATCGATTGTGTCACTATCGATAGTGCATGGTCTGCTTTTTGGGGCTGTAGTGTATTTCTCTGCAACAATTATTTAAAGATTAGTCTAAGAATATTTAATTCAAAAATTTATGTTATTTTATGTTCCAATGTTATTTGTTAAAAAAATGCTTGTGGATATTAAAATTTAGCACGATCTGTGAAATGATAGAACTATTATGAAATGTAATGAGATTATTGTATGGAAAAATAAAATCGAAACGGTCTCTTTATGTATGTTTGTAAATCCACACTGCTATTAGAACAATATATATATAGAAAATTAAAGATAGCTAAAGAGGAAAGATACATATGTTAAAATTAAAAATTTTCGTGTGGACGTCACAGATATGATTCTAAAAATATATGGAATCTTACTCTATTGTGTAAGAGAGACCGCTGTTGTTGATCGTGCTATCTCCATCACCTTCACCGCCACAAGCATTGACTACATCTACAACAATTGAGAAAAATATCATTAATAACAGTATTATAAATATAAAAAATCATAGATTTTTAATATATAACACGGTAATATAATGTTATCTTAATCGCTGTTAGAAGTTTCGCTTACTATATATTCCTTAATAAGTAAGTACTAATGCTGAAAAGAAGAAATCAGATTATCATAGTTAAGTTCGTAAATAAAAGATTTATTTATATCAATATATCTTCATAAGTAGCCCCGTTATTTTTTACCTGATTTAAGTTAGGATTAAATTAAGTAAAACCGTTACAAAACAAAAATAAACAAAACCGCAAGAAAAACAGAATTAGTTTTTTAGACAAAATACCTCGTTACAAACAAAACGAGATTAAAGCAACTTTCTTCTAAGAGAAGATTGTCTAAAATCCTAGCTGTGGTAATAATTAGGGTCTCAGAGCATTTTAATCCTTTGTACCGTGGCTTTCTGTATATCTTTCTTTATCTATGACTACGCCTATAAACAAATATGACGGACAGAAACATCTGTTTTGTATTAAATCTTTTATATTTATAATACATTCTAATACTGCCTCGGTGGTGTAGTGGCTAGCATGTACGGCTGCACACCCGGAGGTCCTGGGTTCGAGTCCCGGGTCGGGCTAAGTTTAGTTATTAAGAGTTTCTGTATAATAAGTCTCAGTAACAGCCCGGATTTGGGAAGTTGGCGGTGTTTCACCCCCGTGCCTCGGAGAGCACGTAAAGCCGTCGTTCCTGCGCCTTAACTCTCACCGGTCGTGTCAAGTGGTCGTCCTACCGGAGTATGAGAGTGACAGGAATAGAGAGTGCACTTGTATCTGCGCGTACACTTGAGCACTATAATATCTCCTACGCAGTTTGCTAATCTCAATGAGATTGGTCGCCGTAGCCAGAATCGGCTTAGAAAACATCACATTATAATATCTCAGTTATAAATGATTATTCAAGTTTTGAAAAGTCAGTTTTTAGCAAGTGTTTAAGTGTTTAGCTGATACCATTCATAAATCAAATTTCATCAAACGAATGTAAGTAATATCGTGTGATTAATTATATTAATATACAACACGTCGTCACCCATTTATATAACTTGATGAAGACGTTTATAACGACCGTGAACTCAATAATCTCGTCAAGTTAATTACCATCTGAGTGAAATAAATATGAACATATCAATCCGATCTCGAGATTGGATTGAAATTTTCATATTTCCATATTACATATGTTTTATACTTAAATTTTACTAAAATTGTTATCTATCTTGTTTTATAGCATACGCATTTCAAATAACAAAAGGCCAAATGTACTAGAGATACAAGCTGTAACGCAAGTTGTGCTGTAGTATCTAAATAGAAACAAACATTTCCATTCCTTTGTGATACACTGTACGTGTTGAACTATTCAAGCCGCATTCGATAGTGCAATTTACGTAATCGTAACAACGATCGTTCGCCGAATCTCGCCACGGCAACAGTTAAAGGGCGTAGGTGACAGGCGGCATTTATACTTCCGCGGCTACAACACCGGGTGAGTTCGTGCGAACACCCTGTATGTGCGACTGTGGGAAAGGAACGCTTTATTTCTGTATACAGCGTGTTTTAAAATGACTAAAAAAATATTAACTGATATATTTTGTAATTATAGCTGTATTTGTTATGGAACATTTACAATGTTATTATAAAAAAAATACAAAAAAAAAATAACAATGCCACTGAAAGTTTAGTTAAGTAACTCCTACATAATTATTATTTATTTATTTATGATCGTCAACAGAAAATATATTATTACACGATAACTTGAAATATGCTATTAGTACATTGATTAAATGATTTTCCACTTACAGACAAACACAGCATACACAATATTAGATAAAAGTATCTAAAAAAATAATTATTTATCTGTATTATTCAGTACAAATTTAATATTTATTAGGCATAATGTTAACAGCATTGTACAATATTATAAAAGCGTAATAAAAAAGAAACGGCCTATATATTCCGCGATACTCCCAAGCGCGGCTAATTAACGTTGCCACCTCGAACGTAGCGCGAACAATTGTGTACAATTCAGCATCCGCGACCAACTGTTGTACTGTTTTATTCTTAACGCAAGAATCTAATGAAACTAGGTTTTAAAGTTAACTGTGAAAAGGATTTAAAATGTGCTATTTCAAATTAATTACTACCTACCTGTTCTTATTTTTTTAAATATTTATTCTTACACGTTCAGATGAATCATTCATTTAACTATAAATATTATTTAAAATAAAAAAAATAGATTTAACCTATTTGGTACATAACATAATGAACTCCCAGAAGACCGACCTATCTCTGTACCGTTGACCCACTACGCTAACTTAGTAGAGCTTCGATTTCCAATCACAATTAAACTGGGCCCTTTGTTATCGATACGTCAAAGGCTAGGCTTAATTACGATTTCTGGATTCGATCGATAAATTATAGTTCAGATGTACGCTTAATTAAGTTTGCATAAATGTCACATTTGCATTGGTTTCTCAGGGTTTAGCTATGATATATATTAGAACGGAGCTTGTTAACTTTCGAATAACTATGTAGGCATAATCAGGCTTTGAATATTAAAACATACAAAAATCAATCAAAATATTCTAATTGTTTGACATTGGAAAGTTTATTTTCATCTCCATAATCTATATTAGGTAAAACAAACTTTAAAATAAACTTTCTATATAAAACGATTCTGGTAGACTATTCTGTCAATCAAATATTTAGTATTGAATGAATGCTGTCCCTGCGTTCGAGTTCAGTCTAAGTCTTCAGGTTTCTATATACTTAGCAAAATAATCAGTAGCGGTACTCCACCGCCAAGGGCGCTCACGTCTCGAGGTGCGATTCACACGAGCTGGCCACATGTACAAAACCTAAAAATTCTTTTATTTCTTACTCTACATTATACAAAGATTTAAATGTATTTGAAATTTTACAATAAAGGCTTACTGAAATCGTACATGATGTTATTTATAACATAATATGGACTAACAGTTCAACGTAAAGGAATTCAAATTATCTAAATATAGTGAAAAAAATTAATGCCTTGTAAATTAAAAAAAAATAACTAAAAATTCATTCAATATACGTTTTATGGTTTTTAAAGGAAGATAATGTCACAACAGTATGAACATAGCCGATCCATCATTCAGACCTTTCGAACTTTTACCGTAACCCTCCAAATAGGCGCATCGCTTACCCGCAATTCGAGTTCGGCGGGTTAAGCGGCGTGCACACTGTTCCTTGTACGGCAACTGCAAATTATACGTTCACGTATGGGGCTACCGCGTTCGCACAGTTTCGGAAGCATTAGTGGCTATTAAGCACCGTTAACACACGGGCTCGTCACGAGCGCACGACTCGCATCGTGAACGATCTATCGACGATCTCAGTAGCGGATACGGAGCTCGGTTTTCACACGGAACCTGGTACGCGTGAGTTGTCCCTTATTTGTTGGAAAAGAAAGCGCGAGACAACTAAAATTATTAAAATAATGGCGGATATCTTGATGACTATGTAAATATAAAAAAATTAGAGACCTATCCCATTGGTTAACATACTGAACGTAGTTGTGAGAATATTTAGAGGACATGCGATGCTATTTCCACTGTGACCCTGTCAACTTGTCGCTACCAATACATTGTATGTTAATTATTCGTGGGCGAGAATATTCTGTCAACGTCGTGTACCTACATACGTCTTCACTAATTGGGATGGCATCGCTTATCGCGCTGCGATAGCGCATGTAAACTCACCCTTATGTCAAAAGTTTAATGAACCTAATATGACAGCAATAATATTTAAGTTTTATGTCCATCAGTAATCGACATTGTATGTTAATAATAAACTGCACCGTCAAAAGCATTAGTATAGATAAGGCGTTACAAATTCGCATTTTAATTGCTCGAATCACTTATAATTGTTGATAAATCGCTCAATGTCATGAGGATCCCATGTTAACATTTTGGTATCTGTACAAGCATTTAAGCTTTATAGCCTAATTGTTAATAAATCTTTTATTTATATGAACAATTTGTATAGTAATAAAGTTATATTTTTTTAACTAAATTTAAATCGAACTGCGGTTATAGTTTTAGAATAATGAGTGGACTAATATTGTTCTATCGACTTTGTAAGCGTATATCACACCCTATGTATGTCGGTCAGTGCGGTCTACCTTTGTAACAGTAGGAGCTGACGAGTGACATCTCAGTACAGCACACTTTGACAGCTGAGTGCCTCTATGATAGACTAGACCCTAATAAAGTAAGACTTAACTCACCACGACCTTGTGTTCCTGTGACACTATAAATGTAGGTCGTCTAAAATTTCTATTACGCAAATCTTTGACCGAGCTCTTTATTTTTAAATTATTAACTCACACTTCTTCTATCATTTCATTAAGCTGATTTATAGCTAAAGGCAAAATTTAAACGAATATATCAGATTTTACGCCAATTAGTCTACGATTGGACTTCAATACTTTAAAATACCATTCAATCCGGTTTCAATTTAACATATTGCATTAATATTACAGTTTAATAGTTAAAATTAATAATATACAATCTATACTTATTATTAAGCACAGACTCTATATTAATTTATTGAACATGTAAAGAATTAATTTTATTAAAGTAATAAATAACTTTAATAACCCTTATTTTACTGTCACAGGAAAAATTGTAAATTAATAAATCTTGACGACACTAATTACAATAATAATACTATTGTTAAAAACTAATATGCACGTTTTACGAGACGTCCCTGACGTTATTGCATATTAAATAAGTTAGCTGATTTAGTGCTGAGCGTTTAGAAATACAATAATCAAGTTAATTTTCCAGCTGTACTTAAGACTCTTAACAATATAAATATACCGACTTCTAAATATAACGAACGTCTAATTTATTAATAAAGCTATTAAAATATGGCTTCAATAGATGTTAAGAATTTTTAAAATAAAATAGTACTAATAAGTTTCGTTGTTAAACATTATTTATGGCTTAACGATACCTTTTCTCTACATTTAACAAAATGGGAAGTTAAATAGAAACAAAAAATATATAGGTAGAGTCAAGGTAGATTATCACTAACCTGTGCTGACGCAAATTGTCCTGCCGTTTGAAACTCTTCCCGCAAACCTCGCAGCTGAAGGACAGCTCGGGGCTCTTATGGGTGCGTTCGTGTATCATCAGGTTATAGGACTTGGTGAACCGACGTTGGCAATACTTGCAGACAAACTCGCACTTTGGGCGCAGTTTACGCCTAAAATCCCTTGTGTGATCTTCGTCGATTTGCATCACGGCGAACATTTTGTCTGGTCTATGGTGCACGCTGCGGGCGGGGCTTGGGCGCCTGTGAGACAATGATAACGTATCAAAAACACTGTACAATCAAATATAACACTTTTTACGTACTGAATAATGACCATATTACTATTGCTATTCCAATACGCGATATAGATAAGTGTAATTCTTCATTTGTTTTACCCAATATTTACCTAAAGAAGTCATTACACTTGTAAGAAACACGCACGATAGATCTATACATGTGATTAGTTCATTATCTCGTTTTGTACATAAACGATATTTAGCATTGCTATATAAATATGCTAAGTTACTTGTAAATTTATGTTAATGCATATTTTTATGATTATAATCGATGAAAATTACCTATAGATTCGTAATTAACACGTATAAATTAGTCGCGACGACCGCTAAAGTAATAAAGATCTGTTTATATTAATGGAAATATACGCACCTTGATCACGGTACAAAGCAGGTAACACTTTCACTGTGCTTCGACAACGCAGTGAATGCTATACCTAATCGTATAAGTATATTGACGTTAAAACACAGATTAAAGTTAACTAGAAGTGTCACGGTAGACGTGCGACGTAGGCCGGGTGCGTTTGGCAACTGCGCCAGCGAGAGGGTGCGGAAACTACTGATAATGTTACGCGGAAGGCGCGTAGCCCCCACCACGTGCGCTCGTCTCAATGAACAGGTAGCGGGACGGTGGCTAATGCCTCGCACAGAGAAAATTATACACTTGCTATATATACCGATACAAATGCTATGTATTCGAAAGCAGATATACATTTTAATTTATCGCTAGAGATATCATTTATTTACTTAAAATTTCATAAGTAAGCTCTACATTTCTGTATTGTAGGTAATTGTCCAACTAACACACTTAAGAATCATGTACCTATAGTATGATTATAATATTATTTTGCTTTAATATAATATTTAATATACAAATAAGTATTAAAATGGCAGCGATTTACGCGGTGACGGTGGGAAAGCCGCGGGTGGCTTGCGGCGCTACCGTGCGTGCGTTTCACTCACGATATTACTTATTTCGGCACTGGCGCTTGCACCCGCTAAATTACCGTTTGCATTACCTTCTGTTATTAGCGGCGTAATGCTCTTTCCAGTTTAAGTAGTTCCGCGTAATTGAAACCATAATGTTACTCGATCAACCATTATTTATCCATATATCAAAAAATTTAATACACACTTAAACTTGATGTTAGCAATTTTGTAAAGTTTACAAGTCTTTGGATTACAGCCGCGTAATAAAGAAGCTGTAAAACAAAATTAACCGGACAAATGTAAAGTTTTAATGCGCATTTTATATCTATTCGAAATATCAACAAAGATAGTGGAGGCCATTTTTACTGCTTAATATTAATGTGGATTCCCAAGACGACTCTATTAAAGTAGCGCAGAACGTTTAACTGTCAGTGAGATAAGAATTTTACATGATTGTGGAATCACGAAGACATGGCGGGCGAAAGAAGTTGTATATTACATATTTCGACATACTTTGCTACCATTTTAGGGTTAGTCTTCTGCGCGGTACTTTTTGATAAACATCTGATAGTCACGAAGTTCCCTCTTTAGTAGCAAAATAAATGCCTCTTATGGTATGAGAGATGGTCCCGAGTTTATCTTAAATTTACTGCTCATCTTGAAGAAATTATCGTCATTCTACGTTAACAATAACGGTGCCTTCAACTGCCGGGTTCGAATAAATCTCGTTGGTTTTGAAACGGCTGTGCTGATGTTTTACAAAACTTGTCTAACATATGATAGAATATAATAGAGATAATAAAAGAAAAAAAGGATAAAACTTCTTTAAAGGGACTCAACTGACTAAATTTTTTGACTCGCAAAGTTTTTTATTGGAATTTTTTATTGACAAAAAACCTTTTGCATGCCGAAGGAACTGAGATATCATCTATATATGTCATTAGATAATAACACTTGTTTTAGTGAGGCGGATCTGCATGAATCATAACACACCTTAAGTTACGTTATATTGGCGAACATTCTATAAATTTATGATTCATGAGCAACTCGTCTTGAACTACTGACCCCCGGATTCTATGAAGTGAATAGTGTATATTAATTAGTAATAAACATCGATTGTTTTAGTATTATTTGACATTTCGATTCGACGAAATACCGTCATGGGTTGTTTGTATGCAAAAAGTTCCACAGGTACTGGGTATGTCAATTCGCGAAATAAGATTCATCACAATGACTCTACAATTTGAATGCATATATAATATACAAAGAATTTTTATGAAGAATATATACAGATTCTATATCTTAGTACAGTCAATAATAATAATAATCATTTTAAAGCTAGATTTTGTTAGTAAAATGTTTTGTGTTGATATAATATTGTGTATTATTCAAAATTTAACTCGACAAAATCACTTATGAGTCATATAAGGTAAATTATCAGTTGGTTTGTTGTTTTAAAAGCTTTGACTCAACATGTTCATTAATTATGAATACAGTGAAAGCGATGTCAGAGGTCTCTTTAAAGTTTGCCACAAAATTAATATATAATAATTAATTAAATATTCATCTTGTAATATTGAGTATCTTAAGCTAAAAGCTCTAAAATAATAAAAAAATATACGAGTTTAAGCAAAACAAAACTTACGAAGGCACAACTAAAACATAATGTGAAAATCATATAAACAATAAAGAATTATTTTTCTTTGTAAAAAAGCGTTTAATCGTGTGTTTCAACTCGATATCGTTTGACTCGACTTATAATTATTGACAAAAAATTTATATCTACAAAATTGATCAATTTGTCTAATACTATTTCAGGAGCATCACGATATAAATAGTATAATAGCTAGCTATAAGCTATCTACTATCTATCAAAGTTGCAACACAATTTGTTCATCCAACTCATTAAAAATATTGTAGTCATTAAAATCTGCTTCGATATAATCATTGTAAACACTGCCTACAGAATACCCTTTAATGATCTCTACAAAAACTGCCACTTTAAAGTTAATTACGCAAAATTCCACAATCGAGTAAGTGTGCTGCTACACTGAGAAAAACATTCGATTGTTAGCAACATAGTAAAGTCGGCGATGACTTTTGAACTTCATCATCCATTACTTGTTACAAACCGCTTCATATAGCTTATATAGTAACCCATCAGTAGTGCACGATGTATAAGCCATAAAAAACTTAAGCAAACAATAAAATTCAGCAATCTGTCAGACTTTACATTTAACTTCAAGTATTGAACTATTAAAGCAAGGATCAAAGCTGTAAAAGTAATGGCTGTTTTCGTATGTATGAATATCGTAATTAAATTTTATCACTCGCATCTTAAACAGAAATTGTTAATACGAGGCTAATTTTGCTCTATTCATATCTCGAACAAAACTTTTTTATTACTACAAGTATCTTGTATGCGGTTACCAACGCATATTCTACTATATCCTACAATTTACTAGTAATGATGTACGTATTTATTTGTCTGTCATAATAAATAATTGCTTGATTAACACGTTGTTTTCATTTAGAATTGTTACATCACAATGAAATCAAAGTTACAAATCGTTATAAGATAAAATTACATCGTCGACGTAAACAAAAATTTTCATAAAATGAAAACTACTGCGCCAAACTATGTTTAATTTTTATGGGACCAAATGGCAACTATTCCACATCAAACTAAAGAAGAAACACGCAAATCGTATCATAAATCTCAGCGTAATCGGTGTACATACATAAAAAAATACCAATCGAATTGAGAACCTCCCCCATTTTGAAGTCGGTTAAAAACGCATAGTCAACTAAAAAGGACGATTTACACGCTTTGAAAAGTATTTATCAAGTTATTGTGTCAATGGCTTTATAGTCGCATCTAATACGGTCTATTACAGCTCTTTGTAACTATTGTTCGTCTTTCAAGAGGCCGAATGTCGAGTCAGCATGAGACCATTCGGATTTCGTCTTTCGGCGTCGGCGTTCTTGGCATTCAATCGATCTGTATAGCGCCTTATTTGTGCAATTGTCAATGAATATGATATTTAAATGTATTTTTATTGTATAGAATAAGTATATTCTATGTATTCTAGTTTAACATTATTAGTCGCATAATTAAGTAAGATACAGCAATATCTATTATGTCAGAAAGATATACGTCTTACATATATATTATAAATCATACTATTTTAAACATAACTAACGATAACTAATGGCTTAAATTAAGAAATTTCACAGCATTTAATACCTAGAAACGTAAATTTTAATTGTAATAAGACAAAATAAACTGAAGATTTGCAGCTACTTCGAATAAAAACATTAACATGACATTGTTCCGCGCATGTCTCTGTATTTCATCACGAAATTGTGTTTATCATTCCGTTTAACATTTTACGAACAATGAATTCCATCTCTCTCGCACATGTGTAAATCATTTAAATCATGAAAGGGATGGAATGCAGGCCTGTCCTTTAAGTTAAAGCTCTGTAAAGCTGAATCATGCTCCTATAATTGCCTTGTGGTTTTAATGAATAAATGTTTATTTGAAAAGATAATTTTTGTCTATTCCATATAAAGATCCTTATGTCGTATATTTACATGTTAATATTTATAATATAGTAGTCATGTCATACGGATACGTTTGTGTTAGAAAATATTTTATATTGTAGCTTTTTCATAATTTATGAACTGGTTTCAGTCCGAATTATAATATACAAAATAATGAGCAAGCAAGCAGAAACAACCAAACAGTTTATGTCTCGCGCGTTCCCACAGGAACGGTATGCGCGCGCGCTCGAACAGTGACGTGGTGGGAGTAGACACTTCTTAAATTCTTTATAAATAAATATAATAAATATATGCAGTTTATTCAATTTTTTTTATATTTTTAATCTATATCCACCTAATACTTATTTGATTATTTAAAATAATAGGTATATCACAATTTCAAATATCTTTTGTAAATAATATCGGCAACAATTGATTCTATTATTTGATTATTTGAAAGAATTTACTATATTTACGTTGGTTTTTAATATAAAGCTTTGTCGATTTTATGCCAAATTTTTTAATGATTATTTTATAAAAGTAAGAAATTATATAAATCATATCTAGGTATATACTTTATACATACAATCATACATCATTTTAAATAATTTTTCACATAATTTAAAATGGCAAGAAAAAATAGCTCTACGTGAGACTCCATTGCGCTTCTGTGTCTGATATATTGGG